ATTTGGTCAGACTGCCATATAATTGAAGGTCGATTTGAATCACCTTTTGAGAAGCATCTTCCAGGGATAATGCCGGATAAAACCAAGACAGCTTACTTTCAAATAGTCTTACCACCTAAATGGAGTTCTCACAAGATAAAGCCAATTTGTCTACACCTTGCAGGAACAGGCGATCACGTATGTAATTCTTATTATTAACACATTGTTTATTTTTTATTGTATTATTGTATTATTAACGTTGTATTATAACGTTGTCTTTTAAAATATACAATATGATATATCTCTATTCATAACTAAGATATTTACATATTTTACTTATTAACAGTTTTTTTGGCGACGTAGAAATCTTATTGCTAAACCATTGCTGAAAGAGACTGGAATAGCATCGATACTATTGGAAAATCCTTTTTATGGATTGAGAAAGCCAGATGATCAAATGTAAGAATTCTTAATTGGAAGGTTTGTAGAATGCAAACTTATACAATCGACTAAAATTTTACAGTTTTTTCCTCATTACATTCCATCCTCGCTTTTAGACGTTCCAGTTTGCACAATGTGTGTGACATATTCATTATGGGTGGCTGTCTAATAATGGAATCAATTGTTTTATTAAATTGGTGCGAACAACAAGGATTTAATCCATTAGGTCTTACTGGCTTATCGATGGGTGGACATGTTAGTTTCTGTCCTAAAATAAACTTATATATTTGGGTTTAATTTATGTCTAAATGTCCTATTCTTTGCAGATGGCATCTTTAGCAGCTACTAACTGGCCGAAACCAATTTCATTAGTACCTTGTCTGTCATGGTCAACTGCTTCACCCGTGTTTACGGAAGGAGTAATGAGTGCATCGATAAACTGGGCACTTTTAGAAACGCAATATTTTTCGGATAAAGTCTACCAAAATGATCTCGCGAAAATGGTGAAAATTGTTGATCACGATGTAAGTATAATAATTTTTATTAGGAATTTTGCTAACAATCCTCTCAAATTTGTATTTTTATTAAATATATTTTCAGGATGCTTTCTTAGCTGGCCAACATTTTGCAAAACATTATCCTGCGAGCATGAAGAGAGTAGATAAGTTGAGAAAAGAATCTAAAGAAAACAATAACGAAGACAATAATATTACAAGTGTTGCAATTATAAGTACAAATTCTACCGACAATAGTGACATTTTCACCAAATACGAGTCTAAAAATGAGAGCAGCCAATTGCAGCGTCAGATTGCAGAAGAGAAAGCAGCAGCCAAAATATTTCCCTTAAATCTCATCTCCAACAGATTTAAACCAAAAGATCCTAATGCTCTTAAAGGTATACGCAAGTTTCATTTTTAATTAACTTGTGTGTCTTGTGTACAATTTTCATTAAATTAATAGTTTATAAATAAAAGAATTATAAAATGTCGAATATGCCTATCAGTTTTCATTTTCTTGCGACGAAGATAGTTAAAATGTTTATTCAGTTTATATTATTTATCTATCTATTAGCGTTGCGTTTGGTGGCGTCCTAGGCAGCATGTAAGCAAAAATAATTTTTGGTTTTATATGAATATTTTTCCTATAACAGGAGTTTGCCTATTACCAGTGCCGAAACATCCACTGTTTTCAGACAATAAGTGGCGTGAACACGAAGCATTGCAATTTATGCGTGGCATAATGGATGAGTGCACTCATTTGAAAAATTTTGAAGTACCTGTCGATACCGAGTTAATTATTGCCGTTTGTGCCAAGAATGATGCTTATGTACCGCGAGATCACTGCATGAGTCTGGAAACGATATGGCCGGGAGCTGAAGTTCGTTACATCGATGCTGGACATGTCAGTGCGTACCTTCTTCATCAAAAAGTTTTCAGGTATCAATTTATTATCATTTTGCATCTTCATCTCCTTCAACAAAGCTTCACATACTCATTCTATTTCAGATCGACAATAGCGGAATGTATTCAACGATCATTGAAGAAGTATCCTGTTGAGGTCAGTAGATGACTTTGTCATTTCACCATAATTGATGTACATTATTGAGAGAATTATTTAAAATTTAATTAGAAACGGAATATTTCCCGAGTTTGTGCTCAACATTATTTTTCTACACTTATCTCTGTGTGCACAAACGTAATTTATCTTTAAATTAACGTTGTAACTATTTAGTACAAAAAAGTACAATTGTTCCAGTCAATTTAACCGAGTATAATAATTGATGTTTATTGATACATAGAGTGAGCTAGCTGCCAATAAAAGTGTTCCTACATTAAATAAACAATATATCTAAAACAATAGATTTTTATAGACATGTACACGGGACGTACACACATGTGTACATGAGATTTCATTTTAATTCAAATAATTAAGCAGAAAATTATGAAGAAAAAACATTACTAGATAAAATTACTAAATAATTACGCTTTCATAGAAGAATATAAAAGTTTAAACTCTCTTTTTTGAACTCTCAAACTTTAGTTTAAACTTATTTTTTCAAAATCATTTCATTTTTTATCTTTTTAAATAAAATGACAAATTATTGTATACATGTAACACAATTTTCCACAATATTCTGTACGTGGAAACATAATCATGTAAGGTTATTCATATAAAAATTTTATGAGATACTTCATGTCATAACGTGTTAAATAAAATGTTTAATAGTATTAGGATTTTTAGGATACAATAATATCAAATTAAAAATTATAAACTAATTATTTTAATTCGTTATAACTTAATGTAATTGGATTTGGTATTGGTATTTATACTGGAATTGGAACTTTAATTTATTTTTATTTTATTATTATTAAATTTTTAATGTGTATATGTAAATATAAGTCGTTAACTCTCATAGATTTTAATTTGAAAATATGAATTGTGTAAATTTAATTTTTTTATAATATACTTTTATGCCTTTATGTGCAAAAAATTTTTCAGAACTATATAAGAAATTTTATATACTTTTATTAAAAAACAATATATATGACAACAAATATATGACAACAAAATGACAATAAATTTGATTTCAAGATAACTTTAAGACAATCATTTTGGATTCCTTTTCAGTAATTCTTTATTCTTTATTATTTGAATTGAAATGAAATGCTATACATATGTAAGTATACAAAAATTTATACACATTTTCAATAAATTACACTTTTTGTTGTTGTAAGTCGTAGATATACTCATATTATGCATACGTTATTTAGCTGGAAAATGTTTATTAAAAAATACAATTTATAATATATTTTATATGTCATGTAAAATGTAATGTAATTTGCAATTATATATGTAACACAATAAATTGTATAGTGATAATATTCTTTAGATTTCTTTGAGAAATGTATACGGCCAAATAAAACTAAATAAATTTTGTCATAGATTCCTAGCATCTATGAACCACATACGGAGCGTCCAAGAGACTTTCCGTCGGAAGAGAGTTTTCAAAATAATTCGATACGATGATTAGTCAATGTCCATTTTTCTGAAAAAGTGCAAAGATTCAATTGGCCGTCGTCGAGCCATACGCATTCCGCACGTCTGATGCGTCCATTCGAATTGGAAAACGCGCGCAGGCTATCGCCGCGGAAGTGACGCGCGCCACCTGGCGTGCGCCGTCCGCGAGATCGATTCAACCGGAAGCCGGTCGACCCGCTCTCGTGTTCAGAGGCCTCGCCAGCGTTGGCCACATGTGTCTCGCGTATCGTTTTCCCGTGGGTAAGAGCTCCGCCGAAAATGCGCCGTGTTTACGTAATCCGCGGTAACGCAATGCCACGCCGGTACTGATAGACACGCGGGTCTAGTGCGAAAGAAGTTTCGCGATCGTGTCGAGTAACGCCGTCGCGAGTTTAACGCAGCGCCGGTGAGTTCGCCGCCGAGGACGCGGAAAGCCGGAGACGGAAATCCGAAGGGATTAACTCCGGCGATCCCGCCGTGAGCACGCGGTTGCCGTTGTGTTCGCAGGCGCTCTCGTTGATCGAGTCGCGCGTGGTGCACAGGGGGGGGGGGCGAACCTTCCGGTTGGGGCAGACAGTTCTCTCTGACTTGCGGCGCTGTTCGGGTCGCCCCGTGCATGATAGACGAGTTCCACGCCGGAGGACTCTCGCGAAAGCGCCGAGTCAGCACGTTCATATTTTTAAGCCGCGGAAGAAAAGTAACGCGAGAAACGCGTGAGAGCACGTACGCCACGCGCGTTATTCACGAATCCCGACGACGTCGCGGTGGCGCGTCGAGGACGTGCCCACGAGGAACGTACAGGTGCTACATCTGCTTTGTCCGTGCGACCGCGTGCGCACACGTAAGTACGCCACGCGCGCGCGTCTCAGGGAAGACAGGGACCGCGTGAGGTGCTCAGAGATCGTCGATTCCCGAAGGATATTGCTGACGGCTTATCCCGAAAGAGGATAATCGCAAAAGAGCGACTGGATTTTCGGGTATGGAGAAGGGCATGTGAGGACGCGCATAGGTTAGTTTGCCCGTCGCGTGAATCCACGCCTCGTCAATTATTCCGTAATCGTGGTCCCAAGGGAGCAAAAGGGGATCGCTCGAGCTCCCGCAAGCTCAGGGTCTCGTCGGCAGTGGGACGACGGTGAGGTCCAGGTCCGTGAGTCGAGCCCACGACCTCGTGCACAGTTCGCGGACCTCGTGTTTTTGCCCCCCCCGACAGCGCCGCAAGATGGCGGCCAAGCTGGCCAGCCAAGGTGGCGCTCGGAGCGGCAGCGGCGGCGAGCGGCAGGAGGCGGGGCCCTGCCAGTCCTACGCCAGTGTACTAAATCCGAAAGCCGCTCAGAGTCGTGCGAGTTCGTTCGAGAGCAACAATAAAGAGAACATTGGGGATCAAGTGACAGTGTTGCAGCAGCAACAGCAACACTCGCAGCAACAGCAGCATCAGCACCAACAACAAACGACGACAAATGTGAAAGAGAGAATAGCGTCAAACGTGAAGAGTAGCAAACCCTACCAAAGGATTTCTCGGTGTTTCCAAACGAATCCGGGTGACTGTCCGGAGAAACGTGATCGCCACGAAGGCCCGAACATGCCAGTGGCGCATGTCGACGTCATTCACAAAGCAACTATTACTACTACTACTACTATTACCGCTGTTACTACTACTACTATCACCACCGTCACTACTGCTGCTGCTGCGACGATAGCGGCGGCGCCTGGCGCGTCACGTGAAGAAGATAGTCCGCGTGGCGCTGAACGGCTAAACAACGGCGGCATCGGCAACGATGGCGAGTTTCAAACGGTTGCCACGAAAGGCGCCCGTCGTAAGGAGAAAATGCGCGAACAGTATCGCGAGAATCATCGTGAACGTCACCGGTTACGCGAGCATAATAACCGCCATCAGCAGCCACCACGTGGTGCCAATGGCGTCGGTGGTGGAGGCGCCGGTAGACGCGGCAGCGACGAGAGGACACACAGAGAGCGCACCGACCGCAATGGCGTCCTCGAACATGGCCCGAAGGAAGTCCATCATGGACATAAGGATGATCAGAGTATCGAGGCGGAGGCGCAATCGGCATTCCTACAACCTTCGCAGCCGGTCAAATATGTCGAGGCGCCCCTGCCTGTGGTGAATCCCTGGACAAAGAATCGAACGTTGACGTCGACGTTGACACCGGCGCCGGTGTCACAGGTCGCGGTAACATCTTTGCAGCAGCAGCAGCAGCAGCAACAACAACAACAACAACAACAACAACATCAACAACAACAACAGTCGTCTGACATCCTCACAGTATCATCCACATGCGCCGACAGAGCGCAGAGCGAGAAGGAGAGAAGAGTGCTGCAGCCGCAACAGCACCAGCACGCGACTGGTGAGTTGGAGAATTTTTTTAAGCACACGTGATCTTGAAAAATGTGTCTTTGAAAATTTGTTTTAATCTCTACTCGATTTGTAAACCTTCAAGTATTAGATACAGAATGTCCCATATTTATCATGATAACTAAACTTTATAATAAACTTTTATTTCGAAACAAAAGTTAGAAGTATTTAAAGTTGGCATTGTTCGAAATTTCTAGATCCTTCCTTGACAATTGTTATTTCCAGAAAGATCATTTTAAGGCTCCTGGGTACTCAACTAACAACTCTGCGTTGACGATAGCGATATCCTTGCTCATCTTATCCCTTGTCCTTGTTCATCTTGATATAAGTGATGTGCGAATAACGAAATTTTTTTGTTGCACCTAAATTTAAATCCTGCAGATGTGACTTGTTTCGTACTTACCAAATTCGTAAAAACGGCAGCTAAAGTTACTTTTGAATTTTATATAAAAGTATATTTTTCACTTCTTTCAACGGCTGTCAAACTCTGTGCTTCCTACCTGAACAGGCTTTACTTCACTGCCTTTCATAGCCTTTTACGGCTATTTATTCACTATCAAGAAAAAAAATGATAGCAACCATTCATTTTCACAAGTGTCTTAAAGCTATTTCAAGTGTTATTTCAGTCAAATATCTCTTTATTTGCAAATTAGTTGCAATAAACTTTACTGTGTCATTTCTCGCCTATGATGTCACAATTTCAATATGGCCACTGTGACTACTCAAAAGCCTTAAGAAATAAAAATTTTAAAACCAAAAGGCCGAAATTGTAATAGGTTTTAAATTAGAAAAATTTAAATTGATTCCGATTAAATTGTTTGAAATTTTTAGACCTCTCGTGACGATCATTAATGACAAATTCCCGAAGGCGTTATGAAACGAAATTATTTTTATTCGATTATTTTTTTCGAAATACCGAGACTAATAATTTTTAATTATTTTAATATTATTAATAATTATTAGATAATAATAATTATTAATAATAATTTAATAATAATTATTAATAATAATTAATAATTTTTAAATGAAAATATTTAAAAGTTGACTAATCAGAAATTATTCTGAAATTATCGCGCTCACAAACATGTACGCAACATGTACGATATATTGCATAATAGTAAAAATATGAAAGTTATTCCTTTTTTATCATTTATTTAATACATTTTATATGATAGCTGACAGCATTTTATATGATAGATTGACATTTGGCAGTGTAATATTCCTAAACGTGCCGTTTCTAAACGTGCAAATTTCAGACAATTTATTTCATCATTTTTAAACAATTTTAATTTAAAAATGAAAGCTTCAGCATTTTAAGAATTTTCATCTTAAAATCTAATCTCAGATGATGTTACAAATTTTCATATTTAATATATTACAGGGATATTATAAGTACGTATCTTTTCATTCAATTATATTTATTCAATTATATGTATTAATCAAATTCTCTTTTCAAAATTTGTTGATGAAAATTTCATCCAATTTTGGAAAATTGTTAAGCGATTAATTTCGCGTGACATGTATTATAGAACGCTCGTCAGGTATATTTTGCATCATTAGAGATGCGCCGCATGCTCTAACTCCGGTATTTTCGGTAGGATATTGCACCCCCTTGTTGGCAATAAATAAAGCTCTGTGCAAGATTTTACACGCGACCTTGCGCTTAGCTCCGATTGCGAAATATCTTTTTATCGTCTTTCCTCAAACTTTCCGACAGCTATTACCGCGAGAGCGATAACGATTACATAATTATTAACTCGCGATCTTATTTTATCAACTTGTTTCGCGATCTTGTTTTATTAATGCGCTACCTTCTGCTTAAGTAGCGCTTAAGTGGCCACGTTGAAATTCGAGAAGTCGTGTTGAAATATCCGATTTCACGGAATATTACCTATAAATAGATTGTATTATGCATGATGTCATAGAATTATTTTTTTCCCTCTCTTTCTCTCTCTCTTTCTACGTCTTTTTTAATAAAAAATTTCATCAGATACCATCTTTCCTGACATTTTGCCTTTCACTAACGTGTGAAATCTTGATAATTAATCTTCGATGATTTTTATTAACTCAAACCCGATATTTAATAAAGATGAAAAGATGATTATCTATTTGCCATTCATCAGATTAATTTGTCAATAGCCTTCAATTTTAATTATTTGAAAAGATGTATCCATCCCGTCGATATTAAAATATCTTTGTATAGTTGTATTTCTAGATGCAAAATTAAGAATGATTTACGTTAATTGCATTCTTTGATTAAAATATTAAAAAATTCATTGTAAGAATGCGGAACATTTCCGTGAATCACACGGGAGATCTGTTTTGGATGATATATATGTGTGCATATATATATATATATATATATATATATATATATATGTATTTACGAAACGAGGCATGAAAATAGAAACGCGCGAGTGTACGAGCGTTAAAAAATCAAGGAGAGATGGTCTACTGGTAATTTGATGGCAAAAATGTTAAATCGGAGAAAGAAAGAACCTAATATATATGTAATTCGCCATTGCTTCCGTATATTGTTAAATATCTTTTTATGGATTTAATTAATATCCATGCTCTGGGAAAAAAGTTGGATATGCGGAAGTCGTGTGCTCGCTTAAGAATCTAATCGCGAAAAAATTCTTATCGCACTTCTTGAAATTAATTAAATAATCAGGTTGTTTTTTTGCTAGAACGTTAACATCGCGCGCGCGCGCGCGCGCGCTATAATGTATTTTACATTTTGTAATTATACGAGGCGTAGAATATCTTTAAAAATTGAAAGCAGCTCGAAGGGAAAAATTCAAGTGGCGCACTTTAGTGCTTTGGATGTTCGATAATCGTGATATAAAAAAATGGCAAGCTTGGTGTGCCCGAGCGGCAACCTTATCTTTACATTGCCAACACGATTCAGATATACGTGGCATCGAAATGTTCATGTGGCATGAAGGAGATTCACATGTTGCTTTCAAGCATTTTATTTGCATATCGAGAAATTTGATCTACTTTTCATCGGACGAACCTGAAGGCTCTTTCGTCACGGTGATGTGCCTGCATCTTCCGTTTTGCTGTTATAACATTCTAATATTTGAAATCGTAGTAGAAAAGATTAAACAAAGAAGCAACATTCTTCCCAATCTATGCAAAAACAAACAAACAAATGTTTAATTTTCCTTTTTCTATAAAAAAAAAACTCACAGAATGTTTTTTGAGACATTTCAGTTTTACAAAAATTTGTAGTTTTCTTAATACTTATAATACATTATGCTCAATTTGTAATACATTATTTAATCGCAAAAATAATAACGCGAAATTTCTTTGCACTTTGCAGAAATTTGCAATGATTTAAACCCGCGAAAGTGTGATATCGGCATTTTGTTTCAGAGAAGCTGCTCTCTCAGCGCTATCAAAATTACACACGCACGCACAAAACTGCGTTTCCGACCTGACACGCATTTCCGGCACATGGCATGAAATGCCCGCCGAATTTCTGCAATTGATCTTTTGTCCATACGAAACGAGAGCGCGGGAGAGAACCGGGAGGGCAACGACATTGACACTCTGCATCGTAATAGACGTCGTGAGTCGCGTCTAATAAGATGCGATTACGAGAACGTCCGTATGACGCGCTTCTTACCTAAGAGTCCACGTGTTCGAACGTTCACTCTCGCTCGAGGGATCGAATCGTGTTACACATTTCTAGAAACTTTTTATTGCATTCTGTAATCAAGCTGATTTTTTTGCACGCATACGTGTGGTGAAGGAAGGAGAGAGGGAACGCTCTATATAATAATTCTTGCCAATGACACGCTCGATCGTGTTTGCTCGAGCGAAAAATGGGAACGCAAAATTATCTAGGATTAAACTCTAGATACCTCTATCTTTTAAAATTAACGACTCTTGATTTCCTTTTCTGTCCTGTATTTTTTCTGGAATGTCGATTCGCTTTTCATTCTTGTTGACTTGTCGTGTGGACAACCGTGTGCAATCGAGTTAACGAGGTAGGATTCAGCGATCGGCAGTGCTCAGCCGTGATCGCGCAGCGAGAACGGTGGGCCTTGGTCTTGCCGCAATGGACCAATCCTCCGCTCCCCCGTTCGATCCACATTAAAATATGTCGCAGAAAGTGAGAGTCGCGAGAATGGAAACCTGTTTCGGAATGGTCGGGCCGTCGCGATAGGAGTTATAGATCGGCAAATATCTTTCGATCGTGTCCCGTGCACAGCCATTCCGAGTTGCTGGAACAAGTATCTCCCAATTTAACTTGGCCTCCTCGAGGCTTTCTTGCGCGTCAATAAAAGTGCCGCATATACATATACTTGTTTAGAACTGAAGAGGAGAGCGAG